GCAGGGTAATCAGGCAGTCTCTCACTCTATTTTTTCTTGCTTTTCTTCCGAGCCTAAAAGCAGATGTTATCTTGAAATCTTCCTTATCATTCAGTTGCCAAAAGTTGGCAAATTCTTGCGTCAAAAGGTCTGCCAGGCTCTCTTTTTCAATCTCAGGTACTGCTCTGATCCTTAAATTGGTCTGTTTCTCCTTTAACTCAAGCACAGATAGCAATTCCTGGTGGGTTCCCAATCTTATGTGGTGCTCTTCAACTTGTTTAATTAAAGGTGGTAGTTTTTCTTCAGCAGCTACCGCCTTTTCTCTCCAGCGATGGATTGCCTACGCTGTTGCTGTTGTGCAATGTTGCTCTGCTGCCTGCCTTTCCCAGACCTCAGATCTCTTCCTTCCATGGCACTTTATCTAAAAGTCAAGGTCACTCTCACAGTCCAAAATTGTTTTGTTATTGTACTTTCCCAGGCTGCTGTTAGGTGGAAAATTCCTCAGTCAATTAAAGACTTTTCCCCCTTTGGCCTCCAGGGGGACACAGGTAATAAAGTATCAAAAAATAAAAACTCTCAAACAGCCAAAGAGGTAACTTTTTCCCAAAGTTTCAATTTTGTAAAGTTAAAAGGCAAAAAGATACAAAGTCCATTTAGAGTGCTAACAAAGTGTCCAATCTTTCCAAAACCTGGCAGTCTGTCCCCAGGGATTGAGAGGTGGTCTTTTATTTCCTTATTTACTCTTTAAATTACTCAAAAATAACAGGGAATAACAAGAAATACTGTCTCTTCTTCCCCCCCTGGTCCAATTATGGGAGGGAAAATTTTAAGTTAGACGTCTGTGTATCAGTCTCTTTTGGCAGTCATTGGTATCGAACTCACACAGTCTTTGCTTTATTCTTTATACAGACCGGGAGGTGGACTTCCTTTTTACACCATTCCCGCTTCAGCCAAATTAGTTCCAAAATTTTTGTTAATCCTTATAGCGTGAAACCTACTCACGGGTTGTACTTTTGACAGCCGAATTGTCAAGGAAGAAAGGTCAGCGCTCTCCAGCAACAGCTGCACGGCTTCACTCCGCGAAAGTAGCAGACGACTCACAGTGCCGCGCCGCCCCCGTCCTGCCTGGAGCCCCTTACGGGGCTCCTACGCTGTTTAGGGGCGCGCTCCAGGCACCCGCCGAGTCCCACGACCGCAGGCTTCCTCCGCCTGCGGGTTTCAGAAGGGTCTCCGCTGCGCCGTAGCGGATCGACCCAGTTTTCGCGGAGCCTCTCCTCGAGAGTTATGAGGAGATCGCCATTACTGTTGGCGCCGCCTCCGGAAGTCCTTTGTCCTGTACATTTTAGCAAGTTTGTTCTTGCACCCTTCATGAACATCGCGTTTTGCGAGAAGGGGGGTCGGTTATGCTGTCCAGTGACGTGTCAGCTAGCTGCTCTGTCTCCCCTCCTCCTTCTCCTAACCCCGCTTAACTCTGCTGCAGTGGCATCGCAACAAGGGGCGGTGCACCCCGGTTGCCATGTCTAGGGGGGTGACAAGAAGGCACCCCGCAGGGGCTCGCAGCGGCACAAGCAGCCATCACACCGCTGCAGCCGCAAGCAGAGGAGCTTGGTGCCGGCAGCAAACCGTTATGTACAGCGCATGTGTGGCGCACATGCTCTGTACATAGCGGTTTGTCGCCGGCACCACTTGACTGCCATACGGATGGCGGTGGGATCCCTCTGTCGCCACTACTGTTGGCTTTTTGCAGTATGGTAGTGCTGCAGAGAGCTTGCTGGGGAGACCATGCATTAAAAAGGGACTCAAAAATAATTTAAACAAGGTTTTAATAAGAAAAACAAAAACTCCTTTTACACTAAATACATTAACAAACAAACATGACCCAACCACCAACCCATCCCCCAGGGTAATGGGAGAGCTAGGTGCTGCTCCTTATATACTACACCCAATTGCCAACACAGCTTAATCAGTACAACTCGGCAGCACCTGCTATGTTTCACAGCTGTAAAGCTGGGTCTCGTTATCTTACTCTGGCCCTTGCTTTGGCCCCTTAAAGACATACACATCGGGTGGAACAGTGATGAACCTTTACATTTAAAGAAACCATTCAACATTTCCCCTGCGGTTCATCATTGTGGAACAAAAACATAAAGCATACTTTGTACATGTTTTTCATGTATACCTTTTGGAAGTGCTTTAGTAAAAATGTCTGCAATTTGATTGTCACCTGGAACATATTTAAATACAACCATTTCATCAGCAATTAGTTTCTTTACAAACTGTAAACGTAATCTTAAGACTTTAGTGCGCTGCGTATTGGTTTCTGAACATAGGATAGCGAGTCCACTCTGGGAATCAAGGTAAACTTTTACTGGTAGTGTTACTTGCATCTGTAGGTCTGCGAATACTTGCAGATACCATTCTACATCACGAGTGGCCTGAACGCATGCACATAATTCACTCTCTGTTGTGGAGAGACAAATAATGTTTTGTGTCTGGGACTTCCATTCAAATGGACAACCGTTATAACAAAACACCATACCAGACACACCCCTGCAATTATTTTGTTCCACTGCATGAGATGCATCACAGAAAATTTCAAAACCTTTGTCAATACATGTTGTAAACTGCAACCTATAATGTTTGGTATGTTTAAGGTACATTACCACTCTCTTAAGAGCAGAGAAACATTGTGTAGTGGGCTTTTCCACAAATTTTGCCAGAAAGTGAAAGGCATAAGTTATATCTGGTCTTGAGATTCTTTGAATGAAATTTAGCTTGCCTATAGCAGAACGATACAAAGTTTTGTTAGGAAATGGCTTATCTTCACCTGTAAAAGTGAAACCACACACCATGGGCGTTTCCTTCCTATTTGCATTTTCTAAACGTAGCATTCCAACAAGATCATCAATTTTTGCAGTTTGATGAACCAGAAAAGATCCATTTTTGCCTTTCTCAATTTGCATGGATAAGTAATTTTTAGCTATGCCTAATTCCACCACATCAAATTTCTTCTGTAACTGTGTTACTACCTGTTCATATTCCTGTTTAGTTTTTGTAGAAATTAACACGTCATCTACATACACACATATTTTTGCTACAGAGTTTGCCCTTTCCTTTATAAACACACAATTGTCTGCCTTTCCCTGTGAAAAACCAATATCCAGCAATTCTTTTGCTAAAGTTTGGTGCCAGTTCCTTCCACTTTGGTGCAGACCATAAAGGGATTTATTTAATTTGCATACCAAACCTTCAGCGGCGTCTATGCCTTCAGGGACACGCATAAAAATTTGTTCTTTTAAATCTGCAAACAAATATGCAGTTTTTATATCTAGGTGATAAACAGAATGTCCACGTTGTGATGCATCTTTTAACAAAAGCTTAACTGTTTCATATTTTACACTTGGTGAATAACACAAATCATAATCTTCGCCTGGAATTTGTTGAAAACCCCTAGCAACTAATCTAGCCTTGTACCTTACAACTTCATTTTTGTCATTCATTTTAACTCTATAAACCCATTTTGAATCAATAAGTCTCATATCTGGGGTTTGTGGTACAAGAGACCAAGTGTTATGCTCTTTTAAAGAAGCTATTTCAGAGTTCATAGCTTTATACCAATTTACAGCTTGGTGCTTAGGTAAATTCTGAACATCATTGTAGCTTTTTGGCTCAAAAACTGCCTTATTGGCATACACAGTATTAAAATGTTCATCTGCAAAACGTTGTGGCTTCTGTCTCTTTCTATCTGAACGTCTTAGTCCGGAAGGAGAGTCAGACTCCTCAGACTTAATGGGACTATGTAAACTACTAGTTTCAGGTTGTAAATCATCATTGTCAGACTGAAGAGATGCCTGTTGGCTAAGCTCACGGTCAGAAAACTCAAGAGAATCTAACCTCCCCTCGGGTGCCTGTGACTTTAAATCATCAAACAAATTATCAGATTCAACAGGCTTTTCGTCTTTTCCCATTAATTCAGAAGCACCATTTCCTGCTGCTGCTGCTGCTTCTTCTACCTCTTCTTCCTCAGTATTATCTATACCGTTAGTATCTTGGAAAATAGCAACGCCATTCCAATTTACAGTTTGTATCATGCTTCTGGTAATATGAAATTTGCCAGTTGCTGGTATGTAAATTCTGTACGCCCCTGCTGGTAGCCCATTAATTTTCCCTGGACACTACGTTCACCCAATTTCTGCTTAGCGGGATAATGCATTATTACATCTGAACCCCAAATGCGTAGGTATTTCAGATTAGGGCGTTTTTTTAAACAGCTTCTCATAGGGGGTGACATCTAAACCAGAATGATAACTGCGATTCCTAACATAACAAAAGGCATTGAGCGCTTCAGCCCAAAAGTCTTTGGGCAGATTAGCATCGTGCAGATAAGTTTTAACCCCTGCCTGCAGGTCACGCTGCACAACTTCAACAAGCCCATTTTGCCAGGGACTTCGGGGCAAGATAACTCATGGGTAGTCCCCTGCGCTTCCAGGAATTTCTCAAAATCCTCAGAAACAAATTCCCCGCCCGGTCAGAAAAAGGTTCTTAATAGGTTTGTTAAAATGTGTTTTTACCCAGTTGCAAAAACTTTGTACTTCTCAAATGCTTGGGACTTCTCAGCTATTGCATAAGTCCAACAATATCTACTATACTGGTCTATCAGGGTAAGCCAGTACTTAGAACCTCCTAAGGATGGTGGGAGTGGCCCAACTAAATCACAATGTACACGCTCAAATGGCTCAGTTACTTTCCTATCTGAGCACCTACCCTTGCGTGCAACCTTAATCTTATTCTTGCAACAGGATAGACATTGCATAAAGAATTTACATGGTTTTAAGTTGAGGCCATTAACAATATTCTTGGTCTTAATTACATCAGCAAAATTCAGATGTCCCAGAATTCTGTGCACCTCATGGACACACCCAGAATGTGGCCTTACATTCCTCAAGCCCTGGCTTGACTGTGCTGCTCTGCAATTTATAGGCGATTGGGAGTAGGTGCGAAAATACACTCTATATAAACCATCAGATTCCCGGGCATACAATAGACGTTTGTTCCCCCTCGAAAAACTCACACATTGACTTTAAGAAACGCACAGTTATGCCTTGACGAGCAAAACACCTTACTGACAATAAATTGTCCACTGATGGGCAGTAAATGCAGTTCGCTATAGTAATGTTTAAAGAGTCAAGTTTAACAGTACCCCTGCCAAGCGACTGCAAGACTTGTGAACTGGCTAAATGTACATTACCAATTTCCTCTTCGAAAGAAATAAACAAGCTTCGATCGTTGCAAACGTGCTGAGATGCTCCTGAGTCCACAATAAAAGAATTCCACTTGGCACCTTTAATTCTTTTACGATCTCTTGTGCTAGCGTGAAAAGCTCGCGGCTCGTTTCTGTCTTTACGGTACGATGCCGGCTGCTGAGCTGACGACTGTGACTGACGAACAGAAACAGACTTGGGAGTACTTTGCTTTCTTTTGGATCTGCAGTCCTTTGCAAAATGTCCTTGCTTATTGCAGAACCAACAACGCTTTGCAGCTTTAAATGCAGTTGTATCACCACAAGTTTGCATATGGTGTTCCTCATTCTTTCTGGAAATAGGAGTGCTTATGGCACAAGCCTCCCTTCTGTCCAACTCGCCCATTAATCTTGCCGTTACCCCTTCCACAGTTAATTGTGCTGGTGGAACGGCAGATATCTGGCTAGCTATACCATCAAAGTCCTCATTAAGGGAACAAAGGATGATGAAAACATACTGAATATCAGGTATCTCCATGTCCCTTCGAATTAATTCGCTGCGTATCGCCTCCAGACGTCTCAAGTGTGCTGCCAAATCACCACCAGGCCTCAACTTCGTCTGGTACAGCTGCTTGAAAAACGCCAATGCAGACGCTGACTCTTTTCTAACATGCACTGCTGCAAGACTGTCCCACATTTCTTTGGCAGTTTTCTTATTTCTTATATAAACTACTTGCTGGTCGCTGACTGCCAAATTAATTATCGCCCTGGCTTTTGCATCTCCTTTCGACCAAGCATTAGTCACAGGGTCAGGAGGGTCATCAATTACATAGGTCCATACTTCTCTAGAGGTCAAAAGCGCCTCCACCCGAAAAGACCATAAACTATAGTTCTCATCTGTCAGCTGTGGGAAGACCAGAGCCTTCTCAGCTTCTGGAACCCAGTCAACCATTCTGGAACTCTTCCAGACCCACAGAACTACGCTAACAGGAGAAGGAGTTTTCAAACCTTTCTCAGAGCCCAAAAATATGCAGTCATCCACTCAGCAGCTGGGCCCATAACCAAAGATGTTGGCTTTTTGCAGTATGGTAGCGCTGCAGAGAGCTTGCTGGATGACTGCATTAAAAAGGGACTCAAAAATAATTTAAACAAGGTTTTAATAAGAAAAACAAAAACTCCTTTTACACTAAATACATTAACAAACAAACATGACCCAACCACCAACCCATCCCCCAGGGTGATGGGAGAGCTAGGTGCTGCTCCTTATATACTACACCCAATTGCCAACACAGCTTAATCAGTACAACTCGGCAGCACCTGCTATGTTTCACAGCTGTAAAGCTGGGTCTCGTTATCTTACTCTGGCCCTTGCTTTGGCCCCTTAAAGACATACACATCGGGTGGAACAGTGATGAACCTTTACATTTAAAGAAACCATTCAACAGAGTATCGGCAAACTGCTATGTACAGCACATGTGTGGCGTCGCTACGTACAGCGCATGCGTGGTATGTAGCGACGCCGCACATGCGCCCTACGTAGCGATGCCCCGCCCTGGGTGTCACAACACCTTCGTTCACCCCTGCTCTGCTGTTCTCCTGTCTCTGAGCGGTTATCTTCCTCAAAAGCCTGATGTAATTCGAGCCTGCCTTCCTCTTTCCTGGAAGAAGAGGAGGGGGTGAGACCTTCACCACTCCCCCTCCTCTTCAGTCCAGCCCCTGACACGTGGCCAGGGATAGCTTTTTCCTCCATGAATTTGTCCAGTCCTGTTTTGAAGCCAGCCAAGCTGGGGCCATAACTTCCTGTGGACATCAAGAATCTCCCCGGACCATGCCGCCCTCCAAAGCCCTGCTCCAGGATCTCCTCAGATGCCTGTGACATACTCTCCAACATTCCTCCGATGAAAACAGGGACATCCTAAAGAAGAAGATGATGATGATGAAGAAGAAGAAGAAGAAACGATAATCTTTATTGTCATTGTCCCATACAGAACAATGAAATTGAAAAAATCTACATCAGACATTAAGGAAATCAGCCCTGAGTGCTCACTGGAAGGACAGATTGTGAAGCTGAGGCTCCAGTACTTTGGCCACCTCATGAGAAGAGAAGACTCCCTGGAAAAGACCCTGATGTTGGGAAAGATAGAGGGCACAAGGAGAAGGGGACGACAGAGGACGAGATGGTTGGATAGTGTTCTCGAAGCTACCAGCATGAATTTGACCAAACTGCGGGAGGCAGTGGAAGACAGGAGTGCCTGACATGCTCTGGTCCATGGGGTCACGAAAAGTCGGACACGACTAAATGACTAAACAACAACATCAGGCATTCAAAAACCAACAAGCCAGCTATCCCAGCCTGGTTAACCCCCTAAAAACTCTGATACCCCATAATTAAATATAGTATACTCCCATAGAGACTACCTTACACTGCGTTTAAAACCAAAATCACATTTGGATAAAAACTGTTTCTCTGGCAGCTAGTCCTAGTCTTTATAACCCTGTACCTTCTTCCAGGAGGCAGAAGCTGAAAGAGATAATTTCCGGGGTGTGTACTATCCTGCACTATCTCTGCAGCTTTCCTATGACACCTGGAAGCATACGTTCAGTCCTGTGGTGCCAATGGAGGGACATGGCACCAGGGGTGGGATAAGGGGCAATACTTTCCCGCAATCAATTGCGATCTATCAGGATCAACCAGGCGATCTACCTATTGATTGCGATCGAACGGTTGGACATCGCTGCTATAGAGGGTTGCCTTCAGACTGCTTGAGGGTCAGATACCTCCATACCCTCCAACATTTCTCCAATGAAAATGAGGCTGTCCTAAGGAAAAGTGGGGCATTCTGGGATCAAATCAGAAACTGGGACTGCTTCTGTAAATCCGAGATGGTCCCTGGAAAATAGGGGTACTTGGAGGGTCTGCTGTGGTGTCCTTGAATGGTGTCCTTCAACTGTGATAATGTCTGGGTCGGAGGACAGAGGGTGAGGGTATGGAAACTGTTATGTACTGAAGTTCTCACCCTGGGCCAGCAGGGGATACTGTAGATAGTTATGCAAATGAAGGATCGAAAGTGACGTTCAGTGATTGGATAGTTTGTATGCAAATGAAGGATCGAAAGTGACGTTCAGTGATTGGATAGTTTTAGAAAGTTGCAACAGTTACTGTTGCTGTTCTGGAGCTCTATATAAGCAGGCTGACTGAGCTCCTCAGTTCAGTTCAGTTCTGGCCTTTGAATAAACAAGAGCTGTTTGAAGAATCGCTGTGTCGTCTGATATGTTTGCCCACAACTTAACAGAAACGTCCATCTTTTGCCTGGCTGGAATGCAGAACTACTGAACAAAGATCATGCCCCTTGCTCGGCCCACTTTTGCCCCCGGCCCTGCCCATCCCTCGCAAGCGACCCCCAGAAAATTGCCTCTGAGGGGATATGGCCTTTGGGCTGAACGTATTCCACGCTCCTGGCTTCTCTGGCTGGCATTGCTTGTTTGGAGGTGACCCTGTGGACTCCTAATCCCCTTCTCCTCCAGCCTCAGCACACTGAGTCCTTTCTCTTTTTTCTAGTAATAGCTCTTCATATAGTCTGGCAGTTTCTCAAAGGCCGCAGTGCCTGCCTTGGCATGTCAATGAGTTGCAACTTCTGCAGTCCAGAGAGGACTTTGAAGGGAAAGAAGGGGGAGCTCATGAAAAATCAGCAATCAATGCCTGGCCCAAGGGAGGCAGCCGGAGCTTAGGAAATGCATCACTCAAATATTAACTTTGCTTCCACTCAGGGCAGCGGAGCAGACTTTCTCTGATTAGAAGTGAAATCCTTCTTTCTTTCTTTCTTTCTTTCTTCCTTCCTTCCTTCCTTCCTTCCTTCCTTCCTTCCTTCCCTTCTTCCCTTCTTCCCATCCTTCCTTCCTTTTTTAATTCATGAAAATCTAAATCCCTCCACGCTTTCCCCCCTCAACCCAAATTGTGCTGTCACAGAACCTTTTCTTAATACATTTTAAATTAAACCCACTATAGTAGATAATACTCCTCGTATTACAACAGGTTGAAAGCCGCACAATGTATTATTACAAAACATTACACAAAACACACACAAACACCATTTCCCCATAAAACTATTAGGTTGGTTTATATGTATTCTTTTACAATGAGTTAATTTAACCATTGTGCTGTAGATCAGATTTCTCCCCCAAACCATCCACATATATTAGGAGATATAGTTTTTAGCTTTCGTAATCTTTTTCATTAGTTACAAGGTTAAATGCAATTTCTCGGTCATTTTCCGGGATAACGTCTTTCAGGTCATCAAGTAAATGGAACATTTTTAAAAGAAAAATTGATTTTAAAAGAAAGAAAGGTAGAGACGATGAATCGATGTTACAAAATATTCAAAGCAAATACAGTGTTTCAGTATTGTGCATGGTCCTATCCGGCCACAACAAAGGGGAAAAAGGAGAGAATTTAAAAAATATAGAGCATTTATTTGTTTATTAAACTTAGTCTCTGCAATGCCTGACCCAAGGCCATGTAACTCAAAGTGACTTATGACAATGAATATATAACATATACATTGAATCAGCATAAAAAACAAACCATAGAAAGATCTAAAACTTGTTCATATTTTTTTAAAGGCAGGATTAAAATATCCTACCTACTGAAAGAGGCCACAGAATAATTAAAAACCCAAGGCTTCGTTCATGAATTGGTTTAACAGAAACAAAGAGGAAACAGGATAGAACAGAATTAACAAATAGCATTCAACATCTAAATGCCCTTATCATTGTGCTGAGATTAAGTATGAGTAATAGTCATGTATTCTCTTATGTTAACAATGAAACAATACCAAGTGCTGGTATATTGATGAATGTAGAAGGGGGATTCAAAGTGAAGGTAATAATTTATGTTTAAATTTAAATTTAGATCAATCACATGGAGCCAAATGCTGATTGTGGGAGGGGAGGGTTTGTTCGTTTTCTGGAATACTGGCGTATGTTATTAAATTAAACCAAGCGGGGTAAAGCCATCTTTCGTTGTTTGCCCATGTGTCAACTGTAGCTTGTTAATCTCTCAAGGAGGGCTGTTTCCCAAACTATTTTGTACCAATTGTTTATTGTTGTGCCACAAAGATCAGGTTATGTTGCATCTCGCCGCTTGCAATAAATGCCTTATTAATTCTTTATTATGTAAATCCAGATTGCTGTCTTGAAAATATATTTAATCAATCTAATTCTGGTTTGACTTCCCACTGCGGTTTTGTTATTTTGTTAATTCCTCAGGATATTGAATTCCAGAAAGGCTGGATTTCTGCAGGTTTCCATCACATGTGGAGATATGTACCAGGTGTAAGGCAATGTGGTGAGGCAACAAGGTTGATTCTTGCCAGCTTCCTAAGGATTAAGTACCACCTATATATGAGTTTTGGGGTTAGTTCTCTGTTGCTTGCTGAAATAGACTTACTTTTTTTGTCCAAAGTCTGTCCCATTGACAGGGTCAAGCTCATAGTCAAAACCGCATCCCCATTGGTGTTGAATAGGGTCATATGAACCCACTGATGCACTGGGTATACTTTTATAGATTGTGGGTGCTATACTTGGTCCTTCTATGGATACTGCAAGTCTTTCAAATGGGGCTAGTGGTCTCGTGGCTGCCTTATTGGCAATTGAGTTAGCCAAAATAAAAAGTGCGGATTTGGTGGAGCAGCAGCAAAAGGCTTTGTAAGTTTCCTGGTTTAGACTGTAATTCTTGGTCTGACCATGGTGTATTCCTGTTATAAAAGTCATATAACTGGTACAGACCTTTTGCCCTCCATCCGGCAACATCAAATTGTTGAATTGTCAGAAAGTGTTATGAAATTGTGGGTGGAAGACGTGGTTCCCTTTTGAGATGCTGGGCAGTGTGTGGACAGAAATCAAGACCCCCTGGTTGAAATTTCACCTTTCTTAATTGACGGTTTAATTGACCAC